GCTCTGCTGAGCTTGCCTCAGTGTTTGAGTTCTCTCTTTGCCCAGTCCTCCCCCTGGCCTGTCCCTTCCTCAGGTGTTGATACCTGATAAATGTCCTTCACACCAAACTCAGCTCAGTCTCTGCTTCTAAAGATTACAGTCTGCAACAGTATAAAAATCAGAAGTGGACAATGCTTATGAAATGGGAAAATAAGTGATTTCTCTTTGACTGTTGGTTTTCTGTATCTAACATGGAATTGTCGATTTTTTTTTTTCAAATCTAAATCATGCCTTCAGTCGCTTATTTCTTTAAAGCTACACAACTGAGTGGAATGTCTATCAGCTTCTGGAGTCCCAGGAGCCAGTTTGAAAGTGATATTTCAGACCCTGTTGCTGCTATAACCTCTTCACCAGTGAATCAGAGTAATGGGTGTTGGGTATATCCTCTGTGGCAGTCAAGTCAGCTCTGCTGGCACGTGGGGTATTATTTTCTTTGAAATTCTTGCAAGAAGATCAAAGGTAGCCCAGATCTTCATCTTAAACCATAGATTATGAGTCAACCAGGGTTGGCCTGAGACAAATATTTGATGTGTGTTTAGTCATATGGTGAGTCAGTGTTCTAATCAGGGCAGAGTTAATAAGTTGGGGCTCCTTGCTCACCATATCAAACTTCAAGTATTCTTTCCATTAGGACTACACATGCATTCTTCAGACATTTTTAGTTTTGCTTGTACATTGTTATGTTTTTCTTATCACTACCATAAGATGAAGGCATTAATTGCATTTAAAAATAAAGTCATAAACTTTTGGCAAGCTAAAATTGAGAACAAACACATCAAAGGAATGTCTACTTCCTGCTCTTTTATAGGTAAAATGGATATTTTATAGATGGGGAAGGAGAGACACAGGGAGATGACGTGGTTTATCCCAGAACACAAACCAAGTTGATGCAGAGCTTGGGCTAGAATTCAAATGCAATGGCAAATGATTAGCCATGTCATGCTGCATTCCATTCAGACTTTCTTGATTGAATAGTTTTCATGTAACTAACAAGACATGTCTTCCAATTTCAATATTCCGCTGATATTTATTGAGCACCTGCTATGCACCTGGGACTGTTTGAGGAAACTATATACAATAGTGAATCAGACAGACAAGTTTATGTTGTCAGGGAGTTTACTTTCTAGCAAAGGTCAATTCTCTTTTCTGTTAAAAACCACTAATACCATATTAATAATAAAATAACTGCTTCAACACACAAGTAATGAAAAAGACAGCCTTGGCTACTTTTCTTGTGATTAAACTAGAGTGACATTTCTCTTTTGGCATTGGCTCTATCAGTTTAGCATAAGGACTTCCTACCAAATATTTTTGAAATGGTCACAGCATTCCTGATGACCTTTTTTGATAACTGTGCTTAAAGATGTGAACCATTTAGTTGCAAAGAGAATGTTTTCATTAAATGATATCTTGAGTTGGAAGAATGGCAGTGGAACAGGCCCATTTTTTTTTCTAAATGTATGTAACATTTGCATTGTAATTTTTAAAAGTAATTAGTTGGGCCATTTGTTATTTATTTGCAAAAGATCTAGTAGGTAAGTTGTCAGAACAGGAGTTGGTGTACGCCCACTTCCTAATGAATCATCAATGGTAAGGAGAGCTCAGTTAATGAGATTCAAGGAATCATGGACTCCATCAAGCACAGAGTATAATAAGTCCTCAAAAAGTCATTTGTTGACAGGTTTTGTTACTCATGTTTTATTGAACCCCAAACATTACCTTCTTATCACTTAGTACAATTAAAATTAATCATATTCAATTAGTTATTTTAAAATATTTTCCTTAATTGAGAAGTGGCATGGTTAAGTGGTTAACAGCAAGGACTCGGAACCCAGTTGAGTAATGCTTCTATCTTTCTTCTCCTACCAACAAGTAGTGGAGCCTTGGACATATGACTAACTCCTCTGGTCAACTTCTTATGTGTAGAACAAAAGACTAACACCTTACTCATCGAGTTATGAGATTTATATGAGTGAATATATGTAAAGTGCTTAGGGCAGAACTTGACACCTAGCAAGTATCACATATCTATTTATAAAATGAATACAAATAAAATATTCCTTTTTTCCTAGTAACACAAAGAAGACACATATCTTCCTTAATTACTGCTAATATTCTCCTTTCCTATAACTACGGTTGCATGTTGAGTTGTTCAATAAATTATTATTGTTTAATGAGTAAATAGATGAAAGTTTTGAGGCCAAAAATATAATGAAGATCTACTTGAGATCATACATCTTAGTATTATAGAACCTTCAATCATAGGGCTAGTTTGACTACAGACTCAGAGTACCTCCCCTGGTGCTGTGCAAACATCATTTCCTTTGACATTACAAGCAGCCCTAAAAAGTAAGAATTCAATCTGCACCTCCCAGATTAAGCAAGTGAGGGTTCAAAGGCTAAGTCGATTATCCAAATTCACAGAAATAGTTTGATCAAATCCAGGTCGTTCTGATGCCAACGTCTGTGTTCTTTCATGCTGTACAATCTTACACTAAGAGAGTGTTCGGTGATATCAGGTAAGGAAGGCAGAGATCCACAGGGAAAACGTACCAGGACGTAAGAAAAACAAAATCCTAGGATGTAATATCAGGGTTTATCTTTCAAAACACATCTCATATCCTGAGCTCCCTCCTAAGCAAACATCAAGCCCAGTGACTTTAGCAACATTCCACATTACTAGCTGTTATCTTTGACTGATGTCTGTTTATTGCAAAACCAGAGTGTAAGTTTGACGTCACCTGTCATTCAGCCTGTAAAATATACTGAAGCAAACTGTTAATATTTGCAAAGTTCAGGAATGAACAAAAAATCCATAGAAGATAATTTCCCAATGAGAAATTTAAGAGAGAACTACTTTAATTTGATGTTGCACAAATTGAATAAAACCAAGTCAAAAATCATTACATCCTTAGTCATAAGCCATGATGTGTAAATCACAATTCATAAACCATATGCTCTGTCAGACTTATGAATTTGAAAAGGGAGAATGAGCAGGAGAGCATGGACCATTGTTGGAAATGATGCAAAACTACCCAAGGGATCCTCTGATAGGGCTAAGAAGTATTCACTGAGCCTGGGCAACGCAAGGAGCAACATTTTGGAAAGGATGGAACTGACTTGATAAGCATCTTATCTGTTCTTCCTGAATTAAGCCTGGTTATTTTTGGATTCCATTTTACTGTAATGTTTCGTAACTGGATGACTGTAGGACATATGGGGCTGATGGCAATCGTAAGTATGATGCAACATAATCATAAAGAACTGTTCCTGAAAAGCACAAGAAAGCTGCTCTTATTTCTGACCAAGACCCAGGACATAGAGACACAGAAAAATTTGGAGACCTATGTGAGAGCTGTGGCTGCCACCTGAACTACAGCACCACCTCATTAAATAGCTCTGATCTACTCTTTATCATTTCATAAAATACCTCCAAGCAAATCATTCATGTCTAGCTGATCACTCTGGAGGTTGAATACATTCTCCTCTCTTTACACCTTTGTTCTGAGTTCTTTTCAGGGGACAATCCCTCTTTAACACCTAAAGCAAGCCAGAGACAATACCAGGGACAAAACCAAAACCACTGCTCCTCGTTTGTCTTGTTACTAGATCTATGTGTCTTGTTTGTGACTTGCTTTGTCTGCTTAGCTTCCCCTTAAAGATGTAAATTTACAGCTCGCTGACTGTGGTATCAAAACACATTTTGCATTATTGCTGTTATCAGCTCACAGGAACTGAATGGCAAGAAGGCAAACTTCAAATTTAGTTATAGCAATTAATCAAGGATTTCTATGGTTCCACAAAGTTCCACTTTCGTTTACTCCTAAGTACCCTGATAGGTTTTTGAAATAAAAACATGGTTATGTAGAGAAGTGATGAGTGATAGAGCAAAAGGCCTGAGATGGGTCCAGTCTAGAGAATGTGCTTTTAGTCTCACGTTTTTCACTAAATTATTCCTGACAATTAATTGGAAGGCTGTAAAAATTTGGCTGAATCTCAGTTCCTTCAGCCATAAAAACAGGGAGGTAGAACTAGATGACCCTAAAAGGACATTTTCCAGGGTTGGCCTCCTATAAAAACAAATCAAGCAGATGAAATACGTGGTTAGAGCTGATAAACGAAAGATTAACTCCATTTGCAAATGACCTAGAACGTGTGATAGAAAAACAGAGAGGATACGCAGGCTTAGGGAGGCAAAGGTGAGTGGGAATGGCCGCGGTAATCGAGATATTCCCATCAGGAAACCATCAGGGACTGACCTTCAGGGAGTAACTTCTATCCAGAAAGAATTTTGTCAGAGTATTTACAACTCTTTTCTCACAGCAGCCCAAGAGGTGGGTTCTGACCCATTTTACACAGGAGGAGAGCTTTTCTAACATGTCAAAGGCGTCTTGGAAAGATAGATTTAATCCAGGGGCTAGAAGTTAGACATGTGTTCTGAAATAAACCAGCCACATCAAACGAAAGAGAAGACCCTAACTCACAACGGTGTCAAAAAGCAGCAAGACGTTCTCTCACAGAAAAAAAAAGCATGCGCACTTGAGTCTTTTGGAAACTCTTCTGAGCAAACAACCATACGTGTGAGCTCTGTGGGGCTGAACACAGTGCAGCCACGGTGGAATGCTGTGGCCACATAAATTACAGAGAAGACGCATGGCTTTTCATCTGGTGCCCTCACCCGCAGATGTCTGTGGGATGAACGTGGAAGTCGCTGCCAGCCACCGGCATCCTGCAGCTCTGACACCCGGGAACCGTTTTGCTAGATTCATAACCTCTCACTTCACCCACCAACCCTCCTCTGAGGGGGCCCCTTTATTGTACACAATTCACTTGAGGAAAAAAAAAAAAAGTCACTTCGCCATGAATTTTGCCTCGAGAATTTCACAACATCCTTTGAGATCACAATAACCCCGAGGAAGTTTTGCAACTGGGGCTGGGAATCTGTTGCCTAAGTTAGAACTTTGTGAAAGAAAGCGGGTGAAAGTGGCAGAACTGATCTTGCTTAAAACAACTGAGTTGGCATGGAGTGGACAGGAGCTCGTTTAAAAGTGACTCGTCATCCAGGTCAGAATGTATCTCATCCAAGTTATCGTTTTTAATATCGTATCTGCTTACAGTATTTTTCCAGGAAGTGCACTTTTGCTTGCTTTGGAAAAGAGATCATGCTAGTTTGTGTTTTTTCCTCTGGGACATGTCTTCTGTACACTACCCTGACTCATCGTTGTTAATTTAAAATAATATAAATAAGCAAATCCATGACTCAATAAACGTGATGAGTAAGGAGAAAGGGTGTTTGGCAAGTCAACCTCGTCCTCCATTTTAATTAAAAAGTGTGCCTCACACACCATCAATAAGTTTTCGTGACCTGTCGTGACCAGTTCTAGTCACAAGCATGTCATTCACTCTTTCATAATAAATTGGCAGATTATGCTAATATAAGAAAAGGAAGCTATCAATTTTATGTGTGCCAGACAAGCTATGCCATCGATTTCATAATTTATGATATGTGCTTGGAAGAAGAAGATGGCTAAGGACAGGGTTTCACAAACAGAATAAAATGTTACAGGACGATAATCAATTAGATATAGTTGACAAATAGGTGGAGAAAACCATTGCAAAATATTATGCTTTCCTAATAGTCAAACACTCCTAGATTCTGTGTCACATTATTTCTGTATTAATCCTTCAACACAGGGCCTGTGATAACAGCAGATACATGTCAATTATTAAGACGAGTAATAATTGACATTTTCTTAATAATAGACAATTACTCGTGTTAATAATTGACATTTTCTTAAAAGTATTTGACTGAAAACATCATACAAACTCACTTGATTGAGAGTCAGATTTTCTGCCTTCAAGAGAAAAAACAATATAAGCTAGAATATTGATTATTGCACCAATAAGGTTTTAAAAATCATTGCATGGCTTCTTATGTTCTGTTCCTATAGGATCTTGTTCTGTAGAAAAATCACTTACATTGCTTCACATTCTTATAAAAAATGACAATTTGCAATGGCAGTGGGAATTTGGGGGCTCACAGGAAAATGTGGTGTGGATTTGTAGTCACAAAGGACAATAAGATTAAAACTTAATATGCACAGTTAAGTACGCATTATATCTTACATTTATAGCCAAATCGAGTTGCTTGTTTTTAGTTAAAATATTAGAGTTTTGTCCTGAAATCCACTTTCAAAATGCGTGAAAAATCTTTTCATAAAACAGGAAAAATAAAATATATGATGCCACATTATTTATGAGCATGAGCAAAATTCATCAATTTGTTTATAGGCTTTGTTTATCAGTCTTAAAGCAAAAATAAATAGCAGACAAAGCAAAGCAAATTAAACATTTAAATCTTATACTTGTGTTTAACCATTTCTGTCTTATGTGGAGTTAATGCATGCCCACATGCCCACACAAGCATAACCATAACACCCAAACACAAGTCAATACTTACCCCAAATATAATAGCTATAAAATATAATAGATCAAAACATAGTACAATTCTGGAAATGGCTGGGAATTTTTATTATTCTGATCTTTATCATATTTGATAAATGCTTGTCTTATGATATTAATAGCTTTTTGTGTAAAAATGTCATGTAGTTTGTCACCATTCCAACACAGTGAAAGAATACTTTATTTATTAAAAATGGTCTTACTTGGGTAATGTTAAAAAAACATTAAATGTGATTTGCTCCCAATTGTTAAATCTCATTTAATAGTGAGCTGATATGACTGTGTGTGTTATAAAATAACTCCACATTTTTCTTTCTTGTAAGAATAATCTCGAAATAATTTTTAAAATAAGCAAATAATTAGTTTTTTTTAGGTAAAAATTATATATATATTTCAAAACATTCTAAAATAAGACCATTTGGAAAATATTCCAATTTTCTTAAGAAATCTTTTCCTGAACATTTGTGAAACTTGGAGATTGAAGAATTTTAGGAAGTACTCATCTTCCAGGATACTCTTTCTCCCTGTGGTTTTAATCTCCCTATATTCCTCAAAGAAAAATAGTTTTAGGTGAAGTGATCTTTGTTTTGCATATGAAAACCTATAGGACTTAATTGATGGATAAGGACAAGTAGCACTATTTCCTTATTGTCAAATTAATTTTCTCAGCTTCTTTTTTTCACAAGCAAAACCATAGTAAAAAAGAAAATATTGTACAAGTCAACAATATGTTTTCTGGAACAGTTACCAAGTAGATTCACATTCCCAATAGCCACCCATTATTCCTTGCACCAGTTTCCTAGCAGGTACATTTGGGATTCCGGATCACAGGACTTTTTATGGAAAAACTGTTCTTAAGTGTTTGACAAAAGCATTTCATCAAAATGCATCCTGCCAGCACGACACCCTTCTAGGTTTTCTTGTGTTTTGAAGTTTTAAATAATCGCATCTAGATGCATCTAGAGTCTAATATTGTTTGTCTTTCCTCTCTTCTTTTTTTTTAAAATCTCTAAAAAATAAGTAATATTAGTAACTGGCCTGAGCTATAATCCTTTAAAAAAAGTGCATTAACATAATTCTACAGTGCAAAAGTACAAAGAAGACTAAAAGGATAAGGGAAGACTTGAGCAATCACAGTTGCTCAGGCCCTGCATTATGTTGAACTTTGGTGGAATAGATCCAAGAGGGAATTAAATCCAAATGTTTCCTGCTTTCTTCCATCTTAAGAGCTTCATATTTCCTTCATTTTATGTCTTCCACAGTTTTCACATTTAAAATTGTCATCTTTGAGAACACTGAACATATTTATGGCGTGTCTGTTTCCTGATCCATATCCTAGTTTATCATATTGTAGCAGTTACTAGACAACAAGAGAGATTTTGGATTTATATATAACAGAGAAATTTAAATTAGGGAGGAAATGGGGCTGTATCATGCTACCTTCAAAATAAATCTTCCCTTTTATTCTAAAATCTATGAGAGTATTTGTAGTTATTGTCCCTTTATAATACGTTTACCTGTTAAATTACAGAAACAAATCAAGTAGTCTAAGTTGATGTTATGGAGACAAAGAAAAAAAACCCCCCAAAAAACACAGGATAAACAAAAACAAAAAGAGAACAGAAGAAAATATTAGAACCATGATGCTAGTTAGCCTATAATCCTCATTTCTAGGGCTAAGAGTCACATGAAGAACTTTACTTGTACATCATCATTATGACTTCCAGCATATGAGATGGGTGCTCTCAGGCCCTGCAGGTTACAGATGTTAGCAATGGCCCAAGGTCACCCAATTAGAATTAATTTCAAAAAATTGGATTAAAAAAAATCACATTTTTCCTTTCTCCTCTGAGTAACCTCTACAAATATTACACCTCAGTGCTGATGCAAAAGAAAAGATAAGGAAAAAAGAAAGGAGGAGAGGAAGAGGAGGAGGAAAGGCAGTTAGCATGGTATGACATTTACCACCATCTATGTGCAGCTGCCCACCATTGATAAGTCAGACTGGAGTCCTCTGATTCAATCACTATTATTTTGAATACGTAGCTTCCCAGCAGGTTTCTGTACAAAGAAAGAGGAAGAAAAGGGAGGAAGGAGGAGGGAGGGGCAAAAAAGGAGGGAAATCAGGAGAGAAATCACCACTCTATCTAAATCAACATGTCTACCTAAATCATATGTAAGGAAGATGCATATAACCACAGCATACTTCTTTTACTGCCCCATAAAAGTATGTTACAGGTTTTTTCCTCTCAAATGCGAATGTCAGTGTAATGGCTAATTCATGTGAACAGTCTTTGTTTCCCAAGGATGAGCCAGCCAAGCAATAAAATTAAAATGAAAAAAGCTTCATGATGCTCGTTCGTGGCATTTTAAATAGGGCCAACTGCTACAACAGATGAATTACACAGAGTTGTAAGAGCCAGGAATCAATGGATTGGGCACATTACCCGCACGCTCTTTCTTTTCTGCAGATATTCTTTGGCTTTGATATGAACATCCTTCTTCACCTTGCCTAATTACGTCAGCCCAGCCACGTCTTCTCAAAGCTTCGAGAAGAGAGAAGGGACTACCTATGTCCTGGCATGAAGTGTTTCCCAATGATAATAGCAATTTCTCCTGTACTTGACTCCTTAGTGGAATTCTTGAGTGCGTTAGGACAATTCCTGACATGTGAAGACAGGGCTCTTTTTGCCAAAAGTTAAATCCTAATTCAAGGCAGGTAAAATAGCTAGAGACCAGGTTCCACAGCATGAGCTCACGTTTTCAGACTATAAAGTGTCTCTTTTCACCATTGTTCAGGCGCATATGTTCAGACTTCAGAAGTGCTATTTTTACGAGTCTAATTTTGTAATAACAGTGTATATGTTCAAATACTTTATAAAACTCCATGTCAGTAAATATGTGAGAAAGCAATAGAGATTTTCTTTTACCGGGAAATTATCACATTTTATCTTATTTCTAAAGGTTAATCACCAAAGATAATATATTTAGCCATTTTCTAAATTATTATAAAGAAAATTATACAAATGTTAATTGAAGTATAGGGTTTTTTTTTTTTTTTTTTAAACTGAGCCATCCCGCCACCTGTTGGCAGCTCATGGCTGCTCAGCTCGGGCTGACTCGAACCGCTGTTGCTCAGAGCTCAAACTCTTGAGCGAGCTCTTAACCAACTGAGCCACTCAGCCGGCCCCTATAGGGGAGTTTTTTGCAGAATGAAACGTGGGCTAATCTAGTCATCTATCCTCAGAGTTGGACAAAAATTTTTATCTCTGAAGTGGCAATTCCTTTATTGACAAAATGTTTTCTTAGCTACCAGTTTAATCTACATGGCTAATACTACTTTTGTTAATACTACTACTTTTGTCATTATCAGCAATATGCACACTTGCATTTCAATCTTATTCTGTACTTTGGAATAAAAGCAGTTTATAAGAGACTTTTTGAGAACTATATGTTTTGAAGATAAATATGTAAGTAACACGATGAGTTTCATCCCTCATTGCCCTCATGTGATATCTCCAACTGTGTTCAAGGTTTTGCTAATGCTAGAAAAATGCTGGTGATATTACCTCTTTTTACTGTTACTGCAGCCCCCTTCCTAT